GTGTCATCTGTCCTCCGGCAATGTCTTATCTCAAGTCCATCCCCGCACATCACTCTAGCTAATTGAGCTCCACACACATGAGTTTGAGAAGGAGTGTCGCTAAGAGGGTAATGGGGACGCGCTGGGATGGGGTGGGGGTGGGATGGGGGGGGGGCAATACCCCTACCACTAAACCCTATAATATGTCGATATATTTCAACTTAGTCTACAAATCAAAAGAAATCTCTGATAGTTATTTCCATATTTCACGTTTATGGTACGGAGATGATAAACATCGGGTATATGTTGTGTTGCTTACTAGCAGATTGATATTTGAAAATAAAGCAAATTTGGAATTCCATTTAACTCAATATTGTATTGAATTGTATTGGTAATATTGTTTTATTTTGTTGCTTTTAAGGTATCGAACATGTTGAATGATTATACTAAGTTTTAGACAGTACCTCATGTGCGCTTAGAAACGTCTGTATAAAGCGCCCTATAAATGTAATTATTATAATTATTATTAAAGAATTAATCATAATGAAAGTATCCTAAAACGTTGGCATTGATTCTTGCAAAGTTATAAGAATGGAAAAGGGTTTTGAAGATCATTTTGCTGAAGATATCATTGTTTTGTCCGGCGGAAGCCCTTTAAACAAATTTGGTTCCACCCAACCCCTCTCCTTAAATCTAAAGATCCATGCAGCGATGCCCCTGATTTATCCTGATGACTTGAAGTGGCATTAATCAAACCCTGTGGCGATATCATGTTCCAATTACGGGACGAATTCAGGCCTCGATGACAAAGATGGGCTGGCCAAGACGAGCTGACTCCAATATTGATTGGGTTTCCTGATTAAACTATCCATTCCCAAACAAATCATATTTCTCGGAGTAAAGGATGAGATGAACTCTAGGTGACAAATCGATATGCAATCTGATTATAAGGCGTCTGAAGCTCAGAGGAGGGTGAAATGTCTTTACCCTCGCCATGCCCATCTGTGATGTTTTTCCCCATTTCATTTAATTTATTTATGACCGGCCCAAAAGACAACGTATATTATCGATATATAAATAATAGGTTTGAACTAACGTTGAAACAATCATGAATAATTGCACTTGATAATACACTATCTAGGCCTATTTAAATTTACATTATTAGTGATTTTTTAAAAATAATAATCGTACTCAAAAATATTGTGCAATATTTACAATAACTATCATTTTATGAAACAATGTTCTTCCAGAAAATAAAATAAATAAAATCGATGGAATCGATGGAATATGTCACTATGTTATACTATACACTATGTTTGTATTGATTCCAAACAATAATTTCCTTGAATTCAAAACATTTTCATTACATAGATTGTACAATTGATGAAAACAAAAATGAAATCAGTTTTAACATAAAACAAATAACCCCATCCCCCTCCCCCCCCCCCCCCCACACACACCTCTCTCTCTCTCTCTCTCTCTCTCTCTCTCCCTCTCTCTCTCCCTCTCTCTCTCTCCCTCTCTCTCCCCCCCTCTCTCTCTCTCTCTCTCTCTCACACACGCACACACACACACTTTTTATATATTGATTCCAAACAATACAAACCAATCTTAGAAATAAAATACAGTTGTTTTTCCTTGAATTCAAAACATTTTCATTACATAGATTGTACTTATTGATGAAAACAAAAATGAAATCAGTTGTAACATAAAACAAATAACCCCATCCAACCAAACACACAACTACTCCCCCTCCGCCTCCCCCCCCCCAACACACACACACACACACTCTCTCTCTCTCTCTCTCTCTCTCTCTCTCTCTCCTCTCTGCATTCCTCCTGATCTTCCTCGATGCACCTCCTCTTTTGTCTCACTCTTTTTTACCACTCCTTTCCCATCTTCTTGTCTTTCTCATCATCCTTTCTTTCTCCTTTGATTTTCTCGATTGGAGTTATCGATTAACTGAGAATAAGTGAGAATCGATTGGAGGCCTCGTGCCCCTCAAAGGCTACGCCCCTGCTTTTTTTATTTTTTTTATTTATTCATCTATTTTTGTGGTTTTTGTGTGACCTTTATGTTGAATACCTTAGTAAGAGTAGCAGTCGGCAAATTCTCACTTATTCTCCGTTAATCGATAGCTCCTTACGTTAAAACGTTTCACCCAACTGTGTCGGTAAGTGATATTAGTGTTGAGAAGTATATGTATGACAGCGACATAAGTTTTGCTGGAAAGAAGAGCATGATATTACCGTGCAAGTATAAAACTCTTTTGAGCCTCGCGCAGAGTTACATTTAAAGATATATGATACGGAATGTCTACAAAAAGATACCCAAATAAAAAGCTTAAAAATAGAGTTGAAATAAAAAATTAATGGTCATCATGCATATAGAACTACATCGTGACATCCTTTGCCATTATTATTCGTTTACTTATTATTGTACGCCAATATAATATTAAACAGAAGAAGAAAAATCCGTCTGCTTGGAAAGGTTTGTCACAATTAAAAAAAAAAAAAAATCTAGAGGGATTTGGTGAAGTCAAACGTAGTCGCAACGGATCATATCCCGAACGAAATAGACAGGATTATCGATAAGTTACTACAATGTATACCGTTTGTATATATTGCCTATAAAGTTGGAATAATTTTTCTTTACCTCTTTTCACGATATGATTGTGAGAATAGGATTTGGTGGGTTGGCTTTGGTTTTTTTTACCTGACTACCAAGAAAAAGCATATGAATGCTTTCAAGTAATCATCCAGGGGGCCGACGGCTTTAAGTCCTCTCCGATGGAATTGGTGATGAGGATTAATGCCTTACCAAGGGGCACTAGCGCATCGAATTGGTTTCGAACCAGGGATCTCCCCGTTACGACATCACTGCTCTACCGTTGAGCCACCGCGCCTCATTATTCTTGATAGGTAAATTTGAAATCTTCTCAGGACTTTTTCAATCAATCTAAAGAGTCGCAGAGATTGATCACTAAAGCTTTGCATCTACCAAGCATAAGTTATATTGTCACATTCATTTCATGAAAAGAGGTAAGATAATATATTCCAACTTTATAGGCAACAGTGTTAATGGCCAAGGATATTAAAATTCAATCACATTGCTCTCACAGGCCCCCATTCCTGTCCTGGCACGACAGTGTGTTAATTACACATTAATCATCTTTACGGGGAATACCCCCAAAGTAATAATACTCAATGAGGTGCAGTATCCCAAATACAAATAATTGGTAAAACAGATACACGGTTAGACAAGAATACTGCATCCCGGGCTCTGGGAGCGGAGGGGGGGGGGGGGGGGGGGTGGCACAATACTCCGCAGAGGGGGTAGTACTTACCCAAAGAATGTGTTCAAATTAATTTTGACCGATGCGCGGGGCACCTTGCAACCTGTCTCACAGACTCGCCAATAAGAGGAAGTATTGGCAAAACCTGTCAAATTTTGGACACAGTCATTCACACGGGCATCCTTTGTATTTATTTGATATTGGGTTTTTTCTTCCTCATAATTATTTATATTTATTTTATTCATTTTTTTTTTTTTTTTTTTTTAGTTCGAAAGGACCTGAGAACGATTTGTGTTAATCACTAGGAATATTGGGGATAGATAGTTACACCCCACCAAGGATTTATCTTCTAGTGGCTGGGGAGGGGTCAAAACTTTGCATAATCATTCGACAACCTCCCACCCCCCACCAGAAAAAACCTCTCAGCTCCATGGTAGTTCGAAGAAGCTTTCCTTTTTATCATGTGTATTGTGTGGGTGTGTGTTTGTTCTCAATTTGTTCTGTCTGCATCTTTTTGTTGGTTCATCGAAAAAGGTGTGTCATCGTCTTGGGATCAACATATGCGATTCGAACCCTAGTCCTTTTGTACAGTGACTGTATAGAGAGCCGACCACTGGATCAATTCACAATTTTCATACAGCATTGCCCAGATATTATGTTAATGGCTCAGTATCGATGTTTGTCCCCGCCCAATATTTCACGCCACGCTTTTAGCGGGCAACGAAGGGTTGATTAAACTTGCAAATTTCCTGTTCGTGATTTCCTGTGCACGGAGGTGCTCATGTGTCTCCTTTTGCGAGGTGATGCTTACATGTCTCCGAGTCTGCATCCCTCTGCATCCATGTTCACCGCAAACGAGATCGCATTGCGTTTTCGTTGTCACCACAAAGTACTGTCACCGCTCCCGTAGTATTCCCCTGTCCTTCGTAACTCGTGTGTGCAAGACAAGCAGCTGAAACGCGCCATCATTCTCACTTTTGCTTCCAAGTGCTTCTGAGGAGGTTGTCGGATCCATATGTCAATTCTCAACTACTGACATTTTGCGAAACAGTATCCGCGGTGAATATACACAGCAGTTTCATTGCATACATGTGTACGATGGAAAAATGATGTATAGTGTACCGGCATTCAAGTAAGCTGGGACTCCACTTAACATCGACCCCCCCCCCCCCTAAGCCCCCGGGATTCCCCCTTTCACGACTGCAGCCGCGCATGACAAACAGACGCTGCTAATGCAGTAACCACTTACTATTATTGCATTACTGCAGAAATCGCATACAGTGGAATCAATACCATTCTACAAACATATGGGATCCATGAGGTTATGACTAGAATAAAGTCAATATACACGGCTAGAGTCTAGCACGTGTCGCCCCTATGATTGTAAATATGATTATCATTATTGTTCCGCCAATTCACAACGTTCAACGGAATATTCCGACCTTCCGCTTTTTCTTGTGACGCCACTCGCCTTTCATATTCCAGCTCGTATGTAATATCATTGGACTTCCAGCTCCAAATGCACATGCAGAAGGAAGATAATGATATAAGCTTGATGCAATGGCTTTATCAACCTACGTAAACACATACACTATTAGTCAATTCAGTTTTGATTGGCGGGCTGTTTTGATAATGGTAACATCTTCCGGTCTCTCGCGGATGGCGTTATGCTTGTGATGAAATTAATATTCTCCCGCCTGTGCAGCGGCGTGTTACTGTAACATTGCAACGCTCCGAGAGACTCAGAGAGGGTCGAGTGTAGTTCGCATTTATGATCGACTACGGTTGCTGCATATAAATACGTGAATATATGAGATTCGTACCATTCTACTGGTACACTCAACAATTGGTATAATCATAGACCTGGTGGTAGGTCTATGGTATAATACTGTACGCTGGCTTTAATCCCCTAATAAATCATAACTGGACAACGCATCTTACATCAAGCAAGGTCGTATACGTATACGCCGCCGTCTAGACCAACACCGCTTCAGTGACTATGTCTCTGCTCTGTTTTGGACTTTGAGCTTCTTTTATTAAGTCCATGCTTCAACATTCACTAAACAAAGCGGTGAGACTGGAAGGGTGATCTATAACCATCGTGAGACTGAGAGCGCTGTGCGAGAAGGAAAAAAAAATATTTGCGTTCGCCAGGTTGTCATGTTATTGCTTTATCATCACGGTTTGCTTTCATGCAACGGCTCAGAAAGTAAACATAACTGTCCAAATATCTGTTCTTGAACTATATCGTAACGCGTTGAATATCCTTCGAAGGAAGTTTGCCATTGCCACAGGAGGAAATGCCATGGGGAACATTTCAATAAATCGGAAGCAGCTATCTGTACACCATCTGCCCGTGTACATCATGCTCAACGGATAAAGAATAGAGAAATATAATATACGTCCCGTAACAAAAATGATATTCATTACAATGGAGTGGTATTCTCAACTGGGATGACTGATGGACTTTCTGAAGGTAATGTATTCACTTGTGGAAGCACTGGTACATGATTGTACAATACTCGTTAGTGTTTTGCAACTGGATTGTGGTGATGATGAAGGTTTAATAAGTGACCGTATATACATACGATGCGGAAATGAATCATGGCTGTGACCAGGGAGGATCTCTGTGGTATATACCGAATCTGCTTGCATATTATAGGGCGTGGATGAGGGAATAAACTGTTAATAAGTCGAGTACGGGTTTGTTTAAGGTCCATGCGATAGAAGTGTGTAAGTAGTTATTTCTCAATGATTTAAACAGTTATCAATAAAAATTTGGGTGGGCCGATATTCATTGTACAGGCATGTATGCTGCATGTATGATAATTTCCGAGTTTCATTATGCATCCAAATAATTAGTTGGCCTGGCTGTCTCTTCAAGATTCTCTGCTATATTTCATATCTCGTGTTACGATATGATGGCAACGTGGATATTATAATACCCACCTTATACAAATGATTTTGTTGGTATGTGGGGCAAGCATTAATTAGGCAAGTTTGCAAGCCCTCAAGATCAGCAGTTATTCAAAAGATCTAACTGGGCCTTGTGCTACAACAGGCGCGAAAGCAAGATTTTGTTAAGAGAGGGGTACTATATTCCTGACATTTGATGGAAAAATATATACAATTTCAGCATCTCAAACAGAAAGCGCATTTCCGGATTGGTATTGTAGTCTACTCGGGTTTCAGGGAGTGGGGGGGGGGGGGGGGGGGGGGAGGGGCACAACTGGACACTGCTAATTCGGACCTATTTGTAAAATGTATTTCATCGTTAAAGGTAATACAAAGTTTTGGTATGGGGTCATGAATTTGGTTCAAATGAACAATATGCGATTTTACAATATTCAATGAATGATCGTTGTCGCATATGAAATCGAGTCTAAAGTGATGGAATTGTAAATAATAAACTCTTTATGTTGTATGGCTCCCTGCCAAGACTGATATTACTTTAGCGTTAAAACAATGTTTCTTGACTACAATCGACCAATTTGCTATTCCCTTTTGGAAATTATATATTAGAACTGTATATTCTGAGATGTTCATGGTCGCAGCTACCATGGAATGGCCGTAGGCGCTATTTGAAATATTTGAAATTTACCGGGAGCACCGGTAAATTTTTGATCATTCAATTTCTCGAAAGCAGAAGTGTTTTAGGGGCTAAAATTTCTAGTGCTTATAATACATCCACAGGGGCATCCAAATGTATCAACATTTTAAAGAATTACTAAAATCCAATTTTCAAAATTTCCCAAAACTTTGAATTACCTTTAACATAGTTGTAGGCATGCATGGAGCTAATAATAGTGTCTTGCGTCTAGGTGTCATTTCTAGGCCTCCCTGAAGCTTTCAGCATTGAACAGGAAGGTGACACATCATAATGTGAACAATCCCACTCTTGCACATCCTTCCCATCTCCCTGGTGTAACTGTAGCTTTGCCTATATGATAGGGTCTCGGACCAGTTAGTCAGTGGTCAATAATTATTATATGCGAGTCCTTAATGATTGGATGACCAAAGTAGTGGCTGACACATTTCCGGTGGGAAATACCATATCAATTAATTAGGTGCTACTCGCTTGTCAATTCATTTTCTCCTCTTGGAAGCATTTGAAGAGGCAACCCAGTTTAAATAAAACTGGAAATTAAAATAAATAACTCGAAATAAAATGTCCAATTGATTGCACTTCTCAATATCAGAGGATGTATGGGTGTCACGGCCTGTGCCTGTTAGGGGAAACTGAATTGAATCACCGTTACCATTGGGTCTCTCCTCCCGGTATAACTGATTGTGCAGGTGCAATGGACCACCACACCGGGACCCCCTCCCAATACTGCAGTGGGTTCTTAAATCCCCACTACACTACTTATAGCTAATTGCGCCCTCTATATAACAAACAATGCCTAATCGGTGACCATTGGTCCCCATGGCCCCCTTTCTTATTTTAATAGAGAGCTGATGTTATGAGATATAACCACCTGTCAGTGACCATGCAGGGAGGTCTAATCCCCTGGCCAAACTAGTGCAGTGGGGCTTTAAAGTGTAATCTATTGCAGACTCTTTACAACTCGCGTCCTCATGTAAATGATTACATAGCTTGACCGGAGTATGTTTATACACGTGACGTCAGCTATGATCAGATCTGGATTACCAACTCAATAGGTGGTGTGAGACAGAGGCCAATAATCTAGAAATTAGCAATCTAGATTTTATTAATAGTTATCTAGATAATAGTCTGTATGTCACATGTTTGTCACATATACGTAAGTGAATAATCTATAGATAGCTGTTATCTAGGTGCTTCCAGATGGATCGGGAAAATTATGACTGACAACACCTATAAAATGATCGTGCTGATGAACTCTCGCATTTGTAATCTGTCAAAATTAATGAGAGCTGCTTCATAGTCGATACAATACATGTGCTATGACAGTGTAGATCAACCAGGGACGTTGATTTAGGGGGGGGGGGGGTGAGCACTATTTCATTTGACTCAACACCCCTACCCCTCCCCTTGAGCAAAAAATAAAAAATAAAGTGTCACTTTTTTGCCAGGGGGGGGGGGGCCTTTTTGTTTTAAAAGGTGTGTGTTAACTTCTGTTGGGGACCAGGGGTGCGGCCCATGCATGACCACTCCCTCCCCCTTTGTTCAAAATGGTATGGCGAAGGCCCTGAGAACAACAGTATAAAGTAGATGGGTCTATTAGCTTTCCGGGGGGGGGGGTGCCATGGGCGGGTCCATTAGTTTGGTGAGGGGTACGGGCACCATTCCGATTTGATTTATATGCAATTAAGGGAGTATTATTTTGTGGTGTATTTAAGGTAGAAGTACATGCCAACTTGGTCTCAAAAAGGGGTTGTGTCCCCCAACACTCACGGGGGGGGGGGGGGGGGCACCGCAGGATCACAATTGCCCTCACTTGATAAAGTAAATCGCTCATCACATTTACAACCATGAACGATTTACTTGCGCAAATGAAATATAATTTATCTCCATGTTTCGACTATCCACGTCAGCCAGGAGCCAAGATATTATTAAGAAATAAATCATTGAAGTCATTAATAAAGGCATCATAAAGCCATACATGACATCTAATATAGATTTGACGGGGCATTCGAGTATTCATTTAATTCGTTACCCTATCAGGCATATTTTTACTGATATTGATATTGAGACTACCGCTAATCAATCGTTAAACACGTAGGCCTTATAAAGAGAGAGAGAGAGAGAGAGAGGGGGGGGGGGGTGGACACTTGTGGAGAAACGTGACAAACCGTCCTATTCTTCAATTATTGATAAATAAAGAAATAAAGAAATAAAGGATGTGATCACGAAAAGTACACCCTTTTAATCTTCTCATGTTTTCTTTTATTTGCAGTATACATCGAATAAAATGAGACGTCAGAAATGCTACACCGACGCAACGAACATGGTGGACGAACTCAACATGGCTAATAGCGTATAGCGTTGCGGAATCGCTGTTTCAAGTCGGTATTACAGACTACCTTTCGCTTCGCTTGTGAGCGTCGCGTAGCAACAAACTTTTGACCAATCACATTCGTCGGACATCGGTGTTTTTATCACGTGGCCATTATGGGAAGGTCGGTTTTCAGACTCTCTTCTCGCAGGTTGGCGAGTTTGATAGCGGCTGGCTGCTTTATTTATTTCATCATCTCATTCGGTCTACTTAACTCCGACCGAAATGCGATAAAGAACAATCGCTGTGTTGACGAGCGTTCTGGCGTTAGACAGCAAACAACCAATGATAGAGAAGACGATGTAATGTGTAAAGATGGGGTTTGTGAAAGACGTCCGAGCCCAGAACTGCAGTCCAAATTCAAGTCAGGTACTTGGAATTCTTGGTACAACTCCCCCGGGTACCATAAACATTACGATGTTAACTGTTCTGGTATCATACACAATAATCAGACAATCATACGTCAAGCGTACGAGGTGGTCCGTGACACACAGGTGACGGTCCCTTGTGACGAAACGGTAACGAATTGGACCAAAGATTGCCCGTCGTACAGACGACATCGCCGATATCCACTCAAAGCGCTATCGGAGGAAGAATTAGATTACCCGCTCGCGTACATTATTACAGCGCACAAGGAAGCAGCGCAAATCGAACGTCTGCTCCGAGTTATTTACCAGCCACAGAATTTTTACTGCATTCATGTGGATACCAAATCAGGACCAGCTTTTCATCAAGCCATCCGAAATCTTGCTGGTTGTTTCGATAACGTCTTTGTCGCTTCTAAACTGGAGAATGTCCAGTACGCCGGATTTAGCCGAGTGGTGGCCGATATCAACTGCATGAGAGACCTCGTAAAGTACCAGTGGAAATATGTGATCAATCTGTGCGGTCAGGATTTCCCGCTCAAAACCAATCTAGAAATTGTGAAACAGATGAAAGCATACCATGGCCACAACGATATACCGGGTATTTACCCGGAACAGACTCAGTGGTTTGTTGGAAGGACAAAACATAAACATAAGGTTATCCGAGGTGAAGTCATCCGAACTAATATTGAGAAACCCGATCCACCTCATAACGCTAAAATGTATTTTGGAAATGCCTACTACGCAGCAACAAGGGAATATGTAGTACATCTCTTAACAGATAAGAAAGCTAATGACATTTTAGAGTATCTAGCCGATTCACTGAGCCCCGATGAACATTTTTGGGTTACATTAAACCGGTTTCCGGGAGTGCCGGGTGGTTATCCGAACTCAACCTGGGCATCGAATGTTCGGTTCATCCGATGGACGAATTCGGATTACTACGCACCGTGCGTTGGCAAGTATGTACGGGCTGTATGTGTAATAGGAGCCGGTTATTTGCCCTATTTGTCGAGCCAACCGCATATATTTGCGAATAAGGTTTATTACGATTATGATCCGATCACCATGCAATGTTTAGAGGCGCTCTTGGACTACAGGACGGTCTTTCCAGATGCACTTTCAGAATATGTTCATGATTATCCGGTTAAAAATCTGTTTCCATGATTACAACCATACTCAGACAAATATTCTATGGCATGGTTGGACCCACCAAATGAATGCTATACGTACTTAATCCGTTATCGACAAACTATTATGGATCCCTATAACGGTGTCCCAAAAAAGTTACGTAATGCAATTTAAAATGATTCAAGAGTAATTGCCCTCGGTGCTTTGATCGACAATCCATATGCAACACGATCACGAAAACTTTCGAGAAATCAAGTCAAGGGAATATCAATACCCTGTTGTATATCCCATATGAATTATGTTAAGATTACGTAATACATACGTCACTGTATTGTTTGCACATTTCAATAGGTGATAGACAAGGCTATTGAAATTATCTTAGGTTGATATTCCCAATTGGATATCTTAGATTGAAAAAAGTGTGACTCGTAGTTTCTGGAATAAGTAATTTGTTCTTGCTTGCCGAGATATTTAGCTTTAGTACGAGGACCAGGAAGTATTTAAAAAAAGGGGATGGCCTTTCCTCCTTTAACATTAAATATGTTATACCTTCAGTACTCACCCCCAAAACAGAAACAACAATTATGTCCCTCCCCTAGTAGGCCATTTTCGTAATGTAATCAAGTTTAATGCATAAAATTAATCTTTGTTAAGTGCCTCGTTTCAAAATGTTAAGAATAACTATATTTCAATAGTCAGAATGCGAATTGCATACATTAATTGTTGCTAGGTAGGACAAGCATTATGTCTTGTCCTAGTCCTACCTAACAGCATGGAATCTATGCAATTCGCATTCTGACCATTGAACAATTTGTTGTATGTTTGTAACAGCTGAATGAAATCATTTGTAACGAAGCATTTAACAAAGACTTTTTTTGGTGCATTATTTTGATTATGTTACGAAAATGGCCTATTGGGATTTTGTACTTGGACACCTTTAAATTTATATTGTAGAACCAATGGCAGCTGAAAATGTGATTACCATATTTTGTTTTACTTTTTTCCTTGCTTGTCAGGGATCTTTGGGGAATAATATTGTGCTGCCCCGCCACTTTGACAAAATGCCGAATCCATCCCTATATTATTACACTTCTTCTGCTGTATATGATTTTCCTTCTGTTTTCTACACTGCATTGTTAATTGATTTATATGATAATTGATATATATGTTTACAAACAGAATATTGATTTGTTATATTGTATTGTAAATTGAGTTATATGTTTATAAACAGATTATTGATGTACATCAATGAAGCGTAATAAATACAATACATGTCTGTTCCATGAAAATGCATAATGTATACCAAACTGTGCTTCATATCATATCTACACCGACAATGAAACAAGGAAGTGAATTTTACTGCATAAACAGTTCGGCATATTAAAGTCTCCTTATCTAGTTATAGCTGTTTGATCTACACGTATACGTGTATCTTCCGGTTTCACAATATTCCGGATCCAGTCTAGAATACAGTCTGCTATATAATTATCATTCACATCGTCTTAAATGAGAGTATAATTATGTTCCCACATTGTGATAAATGGTTTCCATTTAATATGTTTTGAAGTACTAGCTGTATATTACCGAAAATTATGATTATTAAAAAACAAACATTTTTTTAAATATTTTTTTTTTAAAGGTTGTGTGATGTTTTTTAAAAGGTTGTGTGATGTTTTTCTTTGGGATTTTTAAAGTGATTTTATTTCTATGGGAGGACTGTAAGATGTTGTTTGGCTCATTTAGTTAAGGTCACATGATATTAGAGAAAAGGCTGAAAACCGGAATTGGAATTTGAAATTTATTCAACCCATGCATGATGATTCAATCAAATTAATAATGTTTAGATATTTATCGGCAACGTTATTTGTCTTCAATTTCCTAACATTCTTTTAAATGATTGTTCCACGGTTCAACTACTCGTTTTGCGAATGTGAATTCTTTTCTTTGATTTTTTAATTTTTTTTTTTTTTTTTTTTTTTTGGGGGGGGGGGGGGGGATATAACACACATTCCTTTCTAATTATCACGATCGCAAAGACTTTCGCAAAATCAACTCAAGGGCAACAGACACATCAAGTTCGGATTACGTAACACCTCGTTGTAATGTTGGCACGTTTCAATTGGTGAAGTCAATCGACATTGCCGTAGTTTCTCGAAAGTCTAAGCGATCGGGTTGAATGTATTTCTGTGGATATTTCGCAGATAAAAATGTCGTTCTTAAGTGTTTTTAGATGTTCATTATTTTAATTCCAATACCATTTTAAAAATAAATTGGCAGTTAAATTGCATGTACAATGTATTTGTATTGAAAATCTGAAATAAAATTGAATGAAATTGATATTGATTTAACGTAGTCTTTTAGTCAAAATAAGCTCATTTAAATAATATTCATGGGATATATCCAAGTTCTTTGAATATTGCGATAGTGTATACATATTATAGACTGGTGGAAACATATTTCACAATGACACTGATAAAGGTTTCCAAATACTGGTATAATGTATTCAAATAGAAATTATGTAACAATCCCTTATATTCATATGACGATGGGTTACACGACAATCTTATTCATTATTCCTTATTCTTGTCTCGTTCAAACAATCTAGTGAAGGAATTTCTATCTTAATTATGTTTAATTAGCCTGTACACATTTGCTTATATACAACCCACTCTTTCTTTTCTCTTTACTTTGTATAGTTATCTGCGACCATTAAAGCACAGCCTTTGAAAGGCCAATGGCCTCTGCTAGCTACTCCATATTCTTTGTATTGTTTTATATATTTTCTTATAATGTATATTGTTGAATGTATTTTTTACGAGAATTGGAAATGAAACGAATGAATGAATGAAATCTTGATATGTTCGTAAAATGCATACACACATGTCACAAAACTTTTTTGGTTAAGATCTGGATACATAATATGTAGTTCGAAAACTTAACAACTTTGATTTTCTTTCGACAAGTTCGTTTTAATTAAAGGTTATGACTTGAAAAATAAAATGTTCAAATGTTTAAATTTTCTTATCATTTATGCAAAATACGCAGTTTATCTAACATTTATGCAAGCAGAAATTCGCAAAATTATGTCTCACGAAGTCTCTATTTTTGTATCTTCAAAAGATTAATCCATAACGTGGACCCCTTTGAAAATCAGCTGTGCTGAAAGGGCCATCCACCTATGAGAGGGAATAAATAAATAAAATAAAAATAAAATAAAATAACCGTTAAAGATCAAAAAGTATTGTAAGACAACAACAAGGTATGCATGTTTTAAAACACTGTAATTCAAGAAAATGAAACATGTTTTATTTGAATTATGTTAGGATGCTACAATGTTAATTCAATTGATTGTATATGATGGTTTGATTTGTTCAAAAGCATATATTTATCAATAAATGCATTTTACAAAATAAATGGGGGGAAAATGGTTCATTTCTTTTTAATTGATCATATTGTACACCTATATACATATTACTGCTTGTGGTTTTCCCAGGTCCCTTCCAAACTCAAAATCAAAATCAAACCCGGTTTATCATGATAATAACAACTTTTGATTAATCATCATGCTTCGTGAAATTAATTTTTTGATAAATGCCATGTATATTAGTTTGATAGACTACTCTACATGCGAGGGAGCAAAGCGACCAATATAAATTATCTATTTGATTGATTTTTGGTTGTTTTTATTTTATTTATTTTATATCATCCTCTAGAAACACAATTCATTGTGCATGTATTGCAGTTGCAATTGGAATCAATTTGTAATCAACGGAGTAGAGCAATCGAGCGTCAGATATTAAATTAACAAATATCCTTTAAAAATATATTTGAGGAATTGAAGATTGCATCCGAAAGTTATGATTCTCTTGTTCGTTGAAGCTTTGAAAATCAATTTTATGCACTAATCCCCTTTTTGACAATATTCTGGGGATTGGGGGGGGGGGGGGTATGGCACAAAATCTAATAACATCCTAATACAAGTTATATGTCATAAAGGAAAGTATTTACGAGAGGTAGATTTCTGTGAAATGCTGAAACTATTAGGTAGCCGCTATCTCCTGTCCTGTATCTGGGGCGTGAAATTACTCGATCCCGCAGAAACATCGTAGGACGAGGGCACAGTAACCCCGGAGTTTACATTTTTTTTTAAATTTTAGACAATTTAAACACTTTCTCATGGTCTTTACCATGGATTGGAGGTGAGTATAATCTTTACAAAACATGATTTATCTTTCTCTTAATTCTCTCTTTTGCAATAACTATTATTGCGCCCTATACAAGTGTCTCCCGGGGCACGTGCACCCCACAACCTCTAAATTTAACCAGGGACTTGGGATCCCAAGTCCCTGATTTAACCCACTCTCTTCATCTCGTCTGTGTTGCTTCCATTGAGTTTCGTCCCGCGATCGCTCCCAGATTGGGCAGGTGTCACCAAGCCTTTTCATATCAAGAAATCACCGAGATTCTATTTATTTTAGTTCCATGCCAGTGGAGCGCGACATTCGAAAGGACAAAAAAACTAAAAAGTGCACGTAGCTATCACGATCATTCTGATTGTATCGATCTGTGTCGTCTGCTCATCATCTCACCACATGTCCTAATGGCCGAAAGTGAAAGCGCATATACTAGTCTGCAGGAACAGACTCTGATTTGACACTTTACCACAATTCCTAAAGCCTTGAGCAGAGCCTAGCTCTGTCAGTCTCTGGAGCAGCTATACACAGAGCCTAAATATGCAACATTCTGTCAGCCTAGTCTCACATTGCAGACGCTGTTACGGACAGCGACTGACGAGCAAGGGTTTGTGTCTGAAAAGTATCATACGGTGATGTCAATCTTTTGGAAACATTTTTGTTTAAATTGAGTGGGCCGGGTTTAATTGCTTTGAGGTCGTGGCGGGTTTAAAGTGCAAAATGAAAGTGGGATGGGTTAAAGGAAAATGACAATTAATGCCAATAATCCTTTGACAAAATGTGTGGAAATTGATTCGAACGAGTGGCGGCATCTACAAAAGGGATGATGGAAAAATTGTTGGAAAATGCATACAGTCATGCATTTATTCCAGGTAAAGTATAAAGGAGTGATATATACGAGACACAGCAGGAACTTATAGAAAATGAGTGCTGATATAACAATAATTACTCGCGAAACAAGCTCATTTCAAGCTCAGTGCCTGGTCACAGCTCGATCATCATTGAATTACAGATAGGTTATATTCTCGGTCGCAATTAGATTTTTAATTAAAGGGGGTTCCCTTACTATGTGAACGGCAAATAAATGATATAGAAAGAGAGAGAGAGAGAGAGAGAGAGAGAGAGAGAGAGAGAGAGAGAGAGAGAGAGAGGGGGGGGGGGGGGAGAATGGGAACGAAGGGGGAGAGTGTATGCTAAAATAATTCAAGACGATCACCAGATGTCAGTACATTAAAGCACTATCAAGTTATTCTGTTCTTATATTAACACAAGTCGTTTTCACAACACTCAACCTATAATGCAGGTTTCATTAGCTCCCATTAAACGACCTGAACTTTTAATGAAACTGCCGATTAATAATTAATATCGACTC